GAAGGAAATGATTGGTCCATTAGTGGGTGAAAGTGGCAAGAAGGTGACAAGCAACAGGGAGAAAGCAGAACTATTTAACTCATTTTTCGCATCAGTCTTTACACAAAGAGAAAAAACAGACTAACCTATCAAAAATAGTGCCATAAAAAACAAAACAGAAATACAAGTTAAGATAGGCAAGAAAATGGTAAGTGAACACCTGTCCAGCCTAGACGAGTTCAAATCACCAGGACCAGATGGATTACACCCCAGTTCTTAAGGAACTGGCAGATGTGATCTCAGAACCACTGAACTATATTTTTCAAAGATCCTGGAGCACTGCGGAACTACCAGAGGACTGGAAAAGAGCTGATGTAGTTCCCATCTTCAAAAAAGGGGGAAAAAAAGGACCCAGGAAATTGCAGACCTATCAGCCTGACCTCAATACCCGGCAAGATTCTGGAAAAGATAATCAAACAACGAATCAGCGAACACCTACAGGCAAACAAAGACATTACTAAAAGCCAACACGGGTTTGTCAAAAACAGATCATGCCAGACAAATCTTATTCCATTCTTTGACCAAGTGACAAAATTAGTGGCCCAGAGGAATGCTGCGGATATAGACTTCAGTAAGGCATTTGACAAAGTAGACCACAACCTACTACTTGATAAGATAGAAAAATGCGGGTTAGACAGCATAACCACCAGATGGATCCGTACTCAGCGTGTGGTCCTCAATGGAACCGCATCTACATGGAGGGAAGTGTGTAGTGGGGTGCCCCAGGGCTCTGTTCTGGCCCAGTGCTCTTCAACATCTTCATCAACGATCTAGATGAGGGGATAGATGGGGAACTCATCAAATTTGCAGACGACACCAAGCTGGCAGAAATAGCTAACACTCTAGAAGACAGGCTTAGGATACAGGAGGATCTGGACAGACTTGAACACTGGGCGCTATCTAACAAAATGAAATTCAATGGTGAAAAAAGTAAGGTTCTACATTTAGGCAAGAAAAACCAAATGTACAGGTATAGTATAGGGGGTACCTTGCTCAATAGTAGTAACTGTGAGAGGGATCTCGGAGTCCCAGTGGACAATCATTTAAATATGAGCCAGCAGTGTGCTGCAGCTGCCAAAAAAGCCAACAGTGCTAGGCTGCATTAACAGAGGGATAGAATCAAGATCACGTGAAGTATTAATACCACTTTACAATGCCTTGGTAAGGCCACACTTGGAATACTGCATCCAGTTTTGGTCACCACGATGTAAAAAAGATGTTGAGACTCTAGAAAGAGTGCAGAGAAGAGCAACAAAGATGATTAGGGGACTGGAGGCTAAAATATATGAGGAATGGTTTCTGGAATTGGGTATGTCTAGTTTAATGAAGAGAAGGATGAGGGGGGACATGATAGCAGGACAAGAAGCAACAGATGAAAACTAATCAAGGAGAGAAGCAACCTAGAACTAAGGAGAAACTTCCTGACAGTTAGAACAATTAACCAATGGAACAACCTGCCTCCAGAAGCGGTGAATGCTCCAACACTGGAAGTTTTTAAGAATAAACTGGACACCCATTTATCCAAAATGGTATAGGGTTTCCTGCCTAAGCAGGGGGTTGGACTAGATGACCTCCAAGGTCCCTTCCAACATTATCATTATTATTATTATTAAGAACAATGACAAATTGAAGCAAGTTCAGAGGAAGGCTACCAAGACCATGAGCGTGAATGGGCTGGAAATCAAGACCCATGATGGATGGTTAAAAGATCTGGATCAGTTTGGACTACAGAAGAGAGAAAAATACAGATGTTACAATGCCATAGTGTACAAAGTTTGGCATGACTTCCATTCCCTCTTGGTGGAAGGTTTTTTTTTTTCTATTTTCAGATTACGTATATCCTGCATGGTGTTTTCAGTTTACATTGACCACCAGAAGGCAGTACATAACTAATCCTTATTGGGGACTGTCAGATCTTATTCTAGGAGCTATCACACTTCATACATGAATGTATGACAAAATATAAATCTAAAGAGAATGTAATAGAAGGTAAACTGTTTCTACCCTTTTATCGAAACTCTGCCACACTGTCGAGTATCTGGACCTGGCTAACTCCTAAAACTAATGAATTGCATATAGTTATCTAAAATGGAATGTTAAGGAGTTGGCAGAGAGTTTGAGCCAACAGAATAAGATCTGGAAATGTACAGGTTGTCCTTGACTTACGACCACAATTAGGCCCAAAATTTTTGTTGCTAAGAGAGACAGCAGTTGTGAGTTTTGCCTCATTTTATGAACCTTTCCTGTCACAGCTGTTAACTGAAACATTGCAATTGTTAATAACAATTAATAATAATAACATGGTTGTTAGGTGAATCTGGCTTCCCCATAGACTTTGCTTGTCAAAAGGTCACAAAAGGTGATCATATGACCCCGGGACACTGCAACCGTCATAAATATGGGTCAGTTGCATTGCCAAGCATCTGAATTTTGTTCACTTGACCATGGGGATGCTCCAATGGTCGTGTGAAAGTCACTTTTTTCAGTGCCATTGTAACTGAACGGTCACTCAACGAAATATTATAAGTCAAGGACTACCTACATGTCTCATGGTTCCAGCTTTTAAGTTATAGCTAGGACAAAACAATTTCCACTGAGCTTCACCATCTATTCTAAAGAAAACAGTGAAGCCCCATTTGGCATTAAAAACATCAGCTATATAATTGCATTCATTTTCACGAACATGCATATATTGGAAGGCATGCAGAGTTTAATCCTGAGAAAGAAGCATGATATAATAACTCAGCTGGAGAAGAGAAAGTTACCTATAGTAATCGTAAAGGAAGCAGATGTTCGCTGATATGATAAACAGCTTGATGTCTGCATACTCTGTGAGAAGTGGTATTAAATGGTAAATGAAAATATGCTATAATAATAATAATAATGATGATGATGATGGTGATGATAAAGTTGGAAGAGACCTTGGAGGTCATCAAGTCCAACCCCCTGCTCAGGCAGGAAACCCTACACCATTTCGGACAAATTGCTCTCCAGTCTCTTCTTAAAAACTTCCAGTGTTGGAGCATTCACCACTTCTGGAGGCAGGTTGTTCCATTGGTTAATTGTTCTAACTGTCAGGAAGTTTCTCCTTAGTTCTAGGTTGCTTCTCTCCTTGATTACTTTCCATCCGTTGCTTCTTGTCCTGCTATCATGTCCCTCCTCATCCTTCTCTTTGTTAAACTAGACCAGTGTTTCCCAAACTTGACCATTTTAAGGCATGTGGACTTCAACTCCCAGAATTCCACAGCTAGCATTGCTGGCTGTGGAATTCTGGGAGTTGAAGTCCACATGCCTTAAAATAGTCAAGTTTGGGAAACACTGAACTAGACATACCCAATTCCAGCAACCGTTCCTCATATGTTTTAGCCTCCAGTCCCCTAATCATCTTTGTTGCTCTTCTCTGTACTCTTTCTAGACTCTCAGCATCTTTTTTACATCATGGTGATCAAAACTGGATGCAGTATTCCAAGTGTGGCCTTACCAAGGCATTGTAAAGTGGTATTAATACTTCACGTGATTTTGATTCTAGCCCTCTATTAATGCAGCCCAGCACTGTGTTGGCTTTTTTGGCAGCTTCAGCACACTGCTGGCTCATATTTAAATGATTGTCCACTAGGACTCCGAGATCCCTCTCACAGTTACTACTATTGAGCAAGGTACCCCCTATACTATACCTGTACATTTGGTTTTTCTTGCCTAAATGTAGAACCTTACTTTTTTCACCATTGAATTTCATTTTGTTAGATAGCGCCCAGTGTTCAAGTCTGTCCAGGTCCTCCTGTATCTTAAGCCTGTCTTCTGGAGTGTTGGCTATTCTTGCCAGGTTGGTGTCATCCGTAAATTTGATGAGTTCCCCATCTATCCCCTCGTCCAAATCATTGATGAAGATGTTGAAGAGCACTGGGCCTAGAACAGAGCCCTGGGGTACCCCACTTCCTTCCATGTAGATGCAGTTATTCTGATAATTGCTTTCTATGTTGATGCCAATATTCAGTTCTAAGTGCTGACAAGATATTCACAACATTGTTAGGAATGTTGATATGCCCAACTGTTAATTTGTCTTGTTGAATTTATTTCGATTATAGATAGTCCTCATCTTACAACAATTCATTTAGTGACCATTTGAACTCAGAATGGCACTGAAAAAAGTGACTTATGACCATTTTTCACTCTTATGATCATCATAGCATCCCCATGGCCATGTGATCAAAATTCAGACACTTGGCAACTGACTCATATTTATGATGGTTGCAGTGTCCTGGGGTTTTGTAATCATCTTTTATGACCTTCTGACAAACAAAGTCACTGAGAAAACTAGATTCACTTAACAATCATGTTACTAACTTAACAACTGCAGTGATTCATTTAACAACTGTGGCTAGAAAGATCGTAAAATGAGGCAAAATTCACTTAACAAATGTCTTGTTCAGGAACATAAATTTTGGGTTCAATTGTGGTCGTAAGTGGAGGACTACCTGTAGAAACAAGAAATATAAGCAATAATAGCCATGTTGCTGAGCAAGAAAGAGCACTCAGTAAGTGGATAATATGTTTATTAAGACCAATGAAGGCTCCAGATGGCTCCAGAGGTGTAAATTGTCTCTTCAGTGGTGAAGAGCTTACATAAATTAGGCTAATGTTTTAGCATAGAACTTCACTTTAAAGTCCTCTCAAGGTAGAGACAAAAGACTGAATGCTATACAGGTAGTCCTTGAGTTACTAATGTAATGGAGCCTGCCCATTCCATTTGTAACTCAAAAACTCATTAGGAGTGAATCTCATACCTCGAATGAGATCACTCCTTGCTTGTTAAAACGCAGGTGGCTTGTTAAGTGAACATGAGATATCTCAGGGTGGGGAAGGCCATGGGGAGGCCTAGTGATGGAACCGGCCCCCAAGACCTCCCCAACCCACTAAGGTACTTCATGCTTCCCCATCCCTTCATGCCATGCCAGACTCACTTTGAAAAGATCCGTCTCCTCTCTTCCACGGTTCCTGCTGCCACCTGGATCTGAGGCTGAGGGACGCTTCTGTGTGCCTCTGGAGGCCGGATCCAGGCGTCAAGAGGCCTTTTCCGGGCCACTGCCATCCGGAAGTGAGACTGGGGGGTGATTTTGCGGCCCTCCGGAGGCTGGATCAGGGCATTGGAGGCATTTTCCAGGCCGCTGCTGCCTGGATCTGAGGCCAGGAGATGCTTTTGTGGCCCTCCAGATGCTCAATCTGGGCGCCGAAGACCTTTCCAGGCTGCTGCCACCTGGAAGTGAGGCCGGGGGATGCTTCTGCTTGCTTCCAGAGGCTGGATCTGGGCACCAGAGGCCTTTTCCAAGCTGCTGCCACCCAGATCTGAGGCTGGGGGATGCTTCTGCAGCCCTCCGGAGGCTCATTTCCAGGCAGAAGCAGCCTAGTAAAGGCCTCCAATGCCCGGATTGGGCATCCAAAAGGCTGTAGAAGCATTCCCCCGCCTCAGATCTTGGTGGCAGTGGCCTGGAAAAAGCCTCCAGTGCCTGGATCCAGCCTCTGGAGGTACGCGGAAGCATCCCCCGGCTTCAGTTCCGTTCCCTGTTGTAGAGAACAGAGGTCCAAAGTACATGAGATCACACCACTTATCTTATGTGATCTTGTGTTACTTTAGACCTCCATTCTCTGTGAACACACCAAAGGATCTTGATCTTCGCAAGATATTGAAGGCCTAGCGCCTAGGGAGACCCAGAGTGGGAGTGAGGAGGGAGGAAATAACCAGGGTGAATGTTGCAGTGCCACTGTGGTCGTTGGTAAGGGTGAACAATTGCCGTGGTGCCACAATATTCGTAATTTTGGGATTTGCTCATAAGCACCAGGAGGCGCTTATCATGTAACTTCAAATGTTTGCTAAGGGAATGCTTGCAACTCGGGGATTACCTATAATCTATGGAAGGGTTTGAAATTTATTGAGGGAAGATTGCCAATGTTATATGCAACACACTTGGTGTGCAAAATCTTCTTTTGTATCTATTGATCAAAGAATTGCAGGGTGAATATGATAACCTTAACCTATTATTCCTTGTCCATAAATATTAGTTTAACTTGCCTTTGTATGACTAATGATGCTTTGTATTTTTAATCTGCATACTAAAACAGTAACATATTGAAAGAAGTGAACAACAAATATATATATCACAAGATATTGAACTTAGCCTTGATTGTCTGCTTTATTAACCTGAAACATTTTGGAAATGGTTTGTAGTTAAAGTTATAAGCGTGATGTATACAGTAGAATATTACATTCAGATGAATCTCTTACCAGCAAATTACACAACAGTCAATAATAAAACCCCATATGTGAGTTGATCAGAATTAGTTTTGAATTAAATTAGAGTTTTGATTCCCATTTTTATACTTCCCATTTTTATTAAGAAAATAACCAGTATTGCTCATAGGAATAACACACCAAGACTTATCTTTTTAGAAGCAATAACAATGATATTATCTGGCATCCTTTCAAGTTTCTATTTACTCTTCAAAGTGTTGTAGATGTATTTTCCTAGCAACAATATACTGTTTTGAACTATGCCAGCTATTATTCAAAATGTTTTGGTTTGAGTTGGTCTTGGATAGGTATCAGGATGACGGACAAACACTGTATTAGCAGTATCAATTTGCATTTGGGATTCTCTTGGAAACTATGGGGGCTGGTTCATGACAAATGCCTGTAATTCAAAATTTACCACTACAGTTGAGATTATTGCACATCCATGTAGAAATATATTCAGGTGGACCTTTGAGTGAAATAATATAATTATGGCAAAGCCAATTCCTTATCTGTGCAATGAGTCATATAAGAGCATTTCCAGGATATTGATTTACACAAAAATTAACTAAATGGAACTAAATAAATAAATGAAATTTCTTGCATTTCTTTGCCCACCCAGCCTTTTTTCCCTATTCCCAGAGACAATCATACAAGTCCTTTCTAGAAATGTATTCCTTTACTTACATTTTGAATCCTGCTAATTAATCAGAGTTCTCTTCCATGTTAGAAGTATGAATTTTTCTATCAATGCATAATATGAATTAAATGGAAGACCCAGGGTCTTGCAGTAAAGCTGAACAGATATCAATAGTGTTTGTTTCAGTTTTAACCCAAGCAACAAGCATTCTCTTCTGTAGGTGTGCTTCCGTTCATAAGCATTGTCTTACAAATTCTTACATTTGGGGTTTTCCAATGAAACTCATTACTGAGAGAATCACAACAGAAGAAACTAATATGCTGGGAATTCTGAAGACCTTTGGTAGAAAGGTATGATCATTCTGATATGCTACTTAGGACCTTCCTCATGGTATCTTATTGATCATTATGGGAATAGAAAGCTGGACAAGGTTGGCCTTTGATCTTCCAATCTTCTATGTATATAATTGATCTCTATCTGACAAAATGCCTCCAAGCACTTAAGTTATGCCATGGTGAACAAATTCTTAATGTGCTAGAGGCATCTGTTGGTTGAGCATGTATATCTTTTGAAATTCCTATGCAAGTTCTTCAGCCTGAGAGTTTTCTTACAGAAATATTGCCCATCAGATAAACTGGTTCACCCAGTGGTCAAAGAGCTAATTTTAAAACCAGGATGTCAATGTTTAAAGTTTTCCTGCATCCAATAGAAGAGAACCAAGGATTCCACAGCTTTCTTGTATTCCTGCCACAGTATGGAGTGCAACCTGCTCAGAGGAAAGAGGATAGTCCTTACTCATTTACTTTGTTTGGTGATAGAAGGAGAACCAGGTCAAGTGTCCCGGGTTTTATTTCTGTTAAAAGTAACTAAAGAAAAAGGTCTGATGGCATGAACATGCAGAGCTCCTTAGAGTGTAAATCAACATCTTAATGATATGCATGCTATTTTCACAATGATTACATCAGCAGACCTTGCAGTCAACTTCTGAGTCATCAGAAATTATCTCAATTGGCCTTCGCTAGAAAAAAAACTTCAATGGAACTAAGTGGTCATACATAAAGGAGGCTATTGATTGCATCAGAAAATAAGTTGGCAGCCACTGCAAACAAATTATTCTCAAGTTTATCAAGAACATTTAAAAGTTACTTTCTCAGAGAGTATCCAGTCGCATGTGCTTAGGTTTCACTAAAGGCACTCTTTAAAATTACCTCATAGGTCTCCATGAATGAAAAAGTGTGTTGTGGGGGGGGTGTGTGTTTGTGCATGTGTATATGCCCCATGAAATAAAAAGATGCCAAGTAAATAATGGTAAATAAACCAAAATGTATAAATATTTTTTGTTTTGCCAAAAATGTAAAAAATGGCTAAATGCTATTTGTTGTTGCAAAATGTATGTATAGATAGTCCTCGGCGTACGACCACAGTTGAGCTCAAAATTTCTGTTGCTAAGTGAAACATTTGTTAAGTGAATGTGCCCCATTTTACCACTTTTCTTGCCACAGTTGTTAAATGAATCACTGCAGTTGTTAAATTAGTCAAACTGTTCCCCATTGACTACTTGTCAGAAGGTTGCAAAAGGGGATCACATGACCTTGGGACACTGCAACTGTCCTAAGTATGAGTCAATTGCAAAGCGTCTAAATTTTGATCACATGATCACGGGAATGCTACAACAGTTGTAGGTGTGAAAATTGTTCATAAGTCACTTTTTTCAGTGCCATTGTAACTTTGAACAGTCACTAAATGAACTGTTGTAAGTCAAGGACTACCTGGACACTTACTATAGGCTGATTAAGATCATAGAGCAATTCTTACTAAATCTGTCTTCCAGGTATGTTTGGATGATCTTCCAGGATTATGGCCCAACACATCCAGAAGGCAACAGTTTGGAAAAGACTGTATAGACATCTGTGGGAAGCCATAATGACATCACATGTTCCATGACTTACCTGGGCCCAATTCACCTCTTCTTTTCACAGTTTTGTAAAAAAATAAAATTGGGACAGGGAATCTAGGCCCTCCAGATACCGCTAAACTATATCTTGAAAAAGTCAAACGGGGATGGCAATTATGAAAAATATTTGGTTGTATTTCAACAATATCCATTCCTGGAATAATTAAGGGTATTGATTATGGATCCACCTCTATCAAGTTTCATTTGAACCTAGTATTTTTATTTAAGCTAATTTTGCATGTAAAGCGATAAATATTGAATTACAGTATAGCTCTTGTAAATGCTACAGTTTTTTCATTTGATTAAGAAAAGATTAACATGGGTGAGGGAATAGGGAATTACAGTGTTACTGAGATAAGGGAATATTTGCTAACAGATAATATTATGTCAATATTGTATGACATGTCATACTCAGTTTGCATCAGCTATATGGTACCAGATATCTATGCAAACTTTATGATGGCTATTTCTGAGCACACTCTTTGAAAGGCCAAAACTTGCACATCCAGAATGGCAAGTTCAAATTCTTCCTTTTTTTTTCTTTTTAGTTTGTGTGTTAAAAAGGAAAATAACTGACTAGCCCAAATCTTGCTTGCCCTAAATTGTCTATAAAGTATCTATTTCTTCTCTATGATTTTTGATAAATACAAGAATTTTAAAGGACACATGAAAATGGATTGGGCTGGCTGATACATTTGTGGGATATTTCACAAATTGTTTCCATGGTGGTTGCGGCCACTCACAAGCATTCATCACATTTGAGGGCAAGTCTATCTCAATGTTAATTAATTTTATTTATTCATTAGATTTATATGACTTCATAAGTAATTCAAGGCGACGAGCATACATAATAGTCCTTCCTCCTGTTTTTCCCACAACAACTCTGTGAGGTGTCATTCTGCCTGTCAGCTCACAATGTTGATTATTATTATTATCAGAAGTTAGGATTGTGCTGAACATATGATTTATTTATTTATTTTTCACAGAGGAGGGACTCCGGGCAGTGAACAATAAAATGTTGTAATAGAAAAACAGCGTATAAATATTAAAAATTTTGGAAATTTAGAATTTAAAAAGAGGCAAGGATGAATAAAATCTATGAAAAAAAATTGTTAAAAGGCAAAGGGAGGGGCTCTCAGGATGCAAACCGGCCCCACAGTTGTGTGCTCCTCTGTGCCCCCACGTTAGGCTACAGAGCCACATTTTAAC